CCTGGTTGGAGCCGGGGAGCTCGCCTCGGTTGTGTGCCGAAGCTCCCGGGTAAAGGGAGCTGCCCTGCCGGGCGCGGCGGCCCGGGGCGGCGGCGGCGGAGGCTCGCTGTGCGCTCGAGGCCGGCTGCGCTCTGTAGCGAGGCCCTGTCCCAGAACAGGACAAAGAAGTTGCTTACGCTTTGAAGGGAGGAGTTTCGTGATTGTATTTTGTAGCTCAGTAGCGTTACAATTCTTTTTGTCCGTTTGTGGGTTCTTTCAGATTGTTGCCATGGCCTGCATTAATCTTGCATCAAAAATCGAAGAAGCACCTAGAAGAATAAGAGACGTGATTAATGTGTTTCATCACCTCCGCCAGTTAAGAGGAAAAAGGTAAGATTGGCATTATTAAACGTAACAATCTTGCTCTGCTGTACTGTGCACCAGTCATCAAAACGTTTTTTCTCTCCAGTTAGCATGGATGCTAAAGAAAACCTTCTAAATAAGGTTTTAAAATTCGTATAGGGGAAACTGATACTGAAATTAATTTGGAAAAGCCCCATTAACCAGCTGTGCAGAGTTTATGGAGGAAGTTGCATTTGCGGATAATCTTAACAGTGCTGTGAAGCCAACCATTGGCTTGAGATTAAACAGGAAAGGGGATACGTTTGGCTCAAGTGTGAGTGTATTCTGTAAGTTTACATTTCCCCTCCCCTCTAGAAGACTAAAGGCTGGATGTTTACACACTGTAGTCAAGTTGATACTGTGGCAAAGTTGTGTAGATTGTTTTTCCACCTGAGGTCCCAGTTAATTCTTTGTGAATTGAGATTGGCTTATGTTAAGAGTACTATATGACATTTAACTACGGCATGATATTGGCTCTGAAAGGACGGCAGGATGATAAAGTTTGAAGTCAAGGGGATTAAACAGGTATTATGTTTTGGTCAGATCCAGTCCCAGTGAGTGGGTGAGAAAAATAACTTACAAGATTGTTTTCAGAGTTAGCCCACGTATTTAATCTTGTAAAAAAGAAACCGAGTATGTTTTAGGGGTTGTGATAATCTGGTAACTTTATGTGGATCTGTGTGTTTATCTGAGGCAGTATCAAAAAGGTTGTGGAAGGATAGCCATGGTGTGGATTAGCTTTTCTGTTGTTTGTGAGGGACTGTAGTGATGGTAGACAAACTGGTACTGACTGTAAAGGGATTTAGAAAGTGATCGTAAGATTGGGGGATTGGGTGTTGAGTGCCAAATTAGTATTCTGCCTAAGTAGTGGTACTGGCAGAGTCGGTAAGTTGGCAGTCATGGGACTACTGAGAGAAGCAAATAGTGAAGTAACTTTGAAATGATTAGCCTATTCAGAGTTTGAAGCGTTGCTATCTAAATGCTGTTTCACAGCATTTTCTAGTCTCTTACCTACTTTTTCTCACCCATCTTGTCTCCTCTGTTCAGGAACAGAGTAGTTTTTATTTCATGTTAAAGGATCTTTAGTTTTTTGGTCGGAAATCATTGAGAGATGGGAAGATTTTGATTTGGTATTTGGCATGGTCTGAGTTGATTTGTATTTAGGCGTGTGACTGATTTTCTTCAAGGTGTTTTAAAACAGAAGAACAGTAATGTAGGTCTTGTAAAGGAAGCATTATAGTTTTCTGGTGGTCTTTGAATCATTAAGCTAGCTGTTATATCACTTGGTTTTTTTTTGTTTTTTTTTTAATTTCCCTTTTCCTCCTAGATCTAAGTTTTCTTCCTTCATGTCAGGATAAGGTCTTCTGAACTGTAAAAAGCCTTGGAATTTAAAATAATCCCATTTAACTGTGTCCGATGTAACAGTGCATTTTTTTTTTTGGTCATTACAGAAATTGATTTCATAGCATGAAATTTAAAAGGACTTTTTAATTGCATGGAAGCTCCTTCTTTTTTAAAAAAGCTGGATGTAAAAGTGTTTCTGTGCATATTACAAGTTTACTCAGACGTGTAACTTGTATATGTTATTAACTTCAACTCTTTTTTCCCTTGCAACCGACTATACAGCGACCAGCTACATTTACCAAAGCCTGGGTGATGTGGAGTGGTACATAGAGATGAAGCTGTCGTCATGGCAACAGTGAGTGAAGTATCGAAAATCCCCAAGGAGAAGCCAGTGCTCTGAGAATAGGTCACTGGAATCGGGGACTAACAGGTTGGCCACTGGTGAACCATTTAGAAAAACTCCTGTTTCTTGTTATAAGCTTTTGTCTTTGCTGTCCAAGTTATTAGAACTGTAGTTTTGTTTTGTTTTTTTTTTCAGCATAGGTTAATGTTATTAGAAAATATCATTGATACTGTATTTGGGGTACGCATATCAGTTAGTCTCTGTTTGTTTTAACCCAATATGTGCATGAACTTTATTGTTTGACCTTGAAAATGTTAGTAGTAAATAAGACCCGTAGCCTTTGTCAGTGTCTTGGAGTCTTGATTGACTACACAGTAAAATCACCAGGGGACGATTTTAAAGTACCGATGCCTAGGCTTGCACTGTGTTAGTAGGTCTGTCCCCTTTTGGTTTTTGTAGTTTGATAATTGTCTTTAAAGTTCAAAATAAGTGGCTGAATTTAAAGGAAAGGTTGCTTTTTTCCGTCTCTAGTTTCGGGTATAATTTACATTTTTCTGTGTAACATTCTCAATGGTAAAGGATTTTTTTGTTGTTTTTAAGGAGCCCAGGTTTATACTTCAAAGATTTGTTTAAAACGTTCGAAGATTGGCTTAACTGCTCTTATTGGTGACTGTGTTGTGGTATGTTTAGTGTACTGGAGATCCACAAGAGTTGGGAAGATCTTAAGTGATGGTATTTAGTCCAGTAACTACCTGCAGTTTATTTCTGTGGCTATTCTATACACGTGACTTCGAGTTGAAACACTTTTAAAAGAGTTTCTACTTCTTCTGAAGTAGGTATTACAGATTTCTGTGTATTCTATTCATATGATTTACCTGGTTTTAATAGTCTCTTGAGTTTCAGAGTCTGTTCTGTAACATAAATGAGAGTAGCCGTGTTTGGCCCTCCTAATTCTAAATTTTTTTAATTGAATTATATTTCAGTCAGATTGGTCATATTAAAGAAAAGCAGCCACTAGATAAGTTTTTAATAACCAAAGACCAAGATTTCCTAAGATTCGGAAACTGTTCTTATGTAAGTTAATCTGAAAAGTCTGACAAAAAAAGTTTAAGCAGAGGAGGAGTTGATAGTTTTGATTCTAAATCATTCTTGAGTTTCCTTGAAGCCATGGAAAAGGACTCCCCCTACCTCAAGAATTTTAACTGCTCCTCCTTAAATCATTTATTGACCTGCAACATTTACCTTACACTGTAGCAAGATTTAAGTGAATGTAATGTGTTGCTACAAAAGTACTAACAAATACTTTGTCACATAAATAACTAGAGTATTAAGTTTTTTCCTGCACAGTTGCTTAGTGCTGATCTATGTATTCTTGTCTCTGATACACAGTAATTTTTACAAGGCATTTGTAAATTTTGTATTCTTTTCAGCTGCTTTTGATTTGTGAAGTAAAAGAAATTCTAAACGAAGTGATGCTATCAGTTTTTATAGCCACAAGTTAACATTAAAACTGTAGGTAGTGGCAGGATTAAGCAACAAGTTGAACCTTTAGTTTTATACTATCATTGTGGGCTTTGTTTCCTCAGTCTGTTTTGAAGTCATTGAGATTGTAATATGCAAGAATTAGGGCACCAGTTAAAACAAAGTAGATGGAAAATGGTTTAAGCAGAATTGAGTAGTGGGTCTGACTTGGCACCACGTGGTAACCGTAAGTCAAACAAGTGTTAGCAGCCTAATTCAAAGGGTAAATGAATTTTACCACCATTTGAAGGCAATACTGAAAGCAGGATTCTTAGTAAAAACTACAGATAACTTTGATCAGCATAATGGAGGAAAATATGACAGAACTTCTGCTTTTCATAAAATTACATAGAGATTTCAGTGGTGCCATTTACTGTCTGGATTGCAGGGGGTTAGGAGTTAAGAAGTGGTATGCAGCTGTAACAGTGGAGGTTCTCTCTTAGTTACAGTTGAAGAACCATAACTATCAATTATGTGATAGACATTAAAGAGTCTGAAGTGGAAATGATTTGTTTCAGATTTCTTGTGATAATGTGAAAACTTGAAAAATCATAAACTTTAAGATCTTTGGACTATGTTTTCATGTGTGTTGGATGCTCTCATACGAATTTTTTAAGTACTTTATAGCCTATGTTGTGATAAAATGGCTTAATTATTTTAGTAGCAGCCTGTTCCCCAAATGGGTGGCCTTACTCTGTACATCTTTTATAGCTATAATAGCAATTGAATTTATTGAAAGCCATTTTTCAGCATTAAGTAATAACTGTCTTGCTAGTTTTGTCTTTCTAGTTCTCCAAACTTTTAATGTAACTTGAAAAAGGCGTAGAATATTTAGCAGCAAGCCTCATTAGTATATTCACTGTAATTCAGGTGAGAAAATGAGGCAAATACATGCTTGGTGATTTTTGTTGGAGGAGGGCTTGCGCTTGTGTCACCAGAGGGGATAGTTAATATAACTCATTTCGTATTTTGTTTGTTTTCTGGTACCGGGAATCAAACTCACGACCTCACGCTTGCCAGGCAGGCGCTGTGCTGCTGAGCTAAATCCCCAGCCCCCTCAGTATTTTTTCTTAACCTTCTTTAAATAGATTTTTGTTTTTAAAATATGAAGTTACATTTTTCTGGAACAGACACTAAATGCTCAGAATGACTATGTATCTTTTTAAAAAGTTGTATTCTGCCCAGAGCAAAAACAAATCTCTTGGGGGCTGGGGATTTAGCTCAGCAGCACAGCGCCTGCCTGGCAAGCGCAAGGTCACGTGAGTTCGATTACTGGTACCGGAAAAAACCAAAAAAAAAAAAAAAAAACAAAACCAAATCTCTTGGCTAAAAATGACTGTGGGGGAAAATATTTCAGTGTTCTACCCATATACTTACCATGTAGTCAGTGTTTTGATAAAAATGTAGTTTTTGTTGGCTGGATCCAAGAATGGATCAAAGGACATGGTAAATTTCATAGGCTTAATGAGTCCCATTCCTTAACATTTCCTTCTAAAAACCAGCGCTAAGTTGTGAAGACATAAGTCTTTTAGTGTGAATGGTAGGTTTTTCTATCAAAATACAAATCCACAGGAATGGCATCATTTCTGTGTGCTATTTAATATTTGTATGGTAGAGGAACTTCGGAAGTTACTGAAATTTAGTCTGGCTCAGAGATCTTGAATGTGTTCTGTCTTGTTCTTTCAGTATGATCTTTTGTTCTCTTTTGCATTGTGTACTAAGTTGCCTGTGATTACACCTCTGATCAAATTTAGGCGTGGGTCTCATAGATCAGTAGGTTTTGAAACTGATTTGTAAGATACATTTCATTTGATAATTTTTAGTCTTTAGGTTTCAGGTTGTTTTGTTTTGTTTGGACAGAGATTAAAACAGTTGGGTTAAATAAATTGCTTTCTTGGACCATGTTAATTTTGTCATTGGAAAGTGTTGATTGAACCTGCTGGAGTTTGGTGATGTCATGTTAAAGTACCTTAGTCGAAGATCACAAATCAAGGGTAAATTAAGGCTATTGGAGTGATTTCTGCTGTAGGGTTGTTAGTTCCAGTCTAGATGTATATATTTAATTAGCATAACTTGGACAGCACAAGATTAATGCTTTAACTTGTTTGCAGGAGTTTAAAAAAGCTGGTTTCTGTTGCCAATAGTTGGTTGGAAGGGAAAATGGAGATTCCACACATAAAATTTTTTGGATGTGCAAAACAGTTTTGATTTTATTTCTTACAAACTGTAGGACTCCAAGCCCCTTGATTCTTGATCAGAACTACATTAACACCAAAAACCAAGTTATCAAGGCAGAGAGGAGGGTGCTAAAGGAGTTGGGATTTTGTGTTCATGTCAAGCATCCTCATAAGGTGAGTTGTAGAATATACAAAATTATATTTCGTATTAGGGTTTTCCCTAAAATTCTATTGTACTTGAGTTTATATTTTTATTTATATATGTATACGTTATATGTATTTGAGCATTAACGGTTTTAAAACATTCCTAGCCAGGCATGATAGTGTTATCCCAGCACTAGGGAGGCTGAAACAGGAGGATTGCCACAAATTTGAGGCCTGTCTGAACTACGTAGTGAAACTCTGTCTCAGAACCCAATAAAAAATAAAAAGAATTATTTTGGACATTGAAAGTAATCAGTAAAATGGAAGTCAGTACATAAGTTCAAATGCTCACTCTTAATTATGTGCTTCTGTGGTTAAATTGCAATTTTCCCATCTGAAATACTAGGTGGTGGAATACTTCATTGTGAGGAATAAATATGTGGCTCCAGAAGTACTTGGTGCACTGAGAGAATGCTGAAGTATTTAAACCATAGTTGCTTACTTTTATTAATACTAAACAATTGATAGGTTTTCCCCAGCTTTCCTTGGTTTCTATGTTATCATTATAAACAGTGGCTCAGTGGTTTGCTAGAGTTGGGTGCTTGGATCCAAGACTGTCGGGAATAAAAGCTTATCTCTGTTAACTGTGACACTGGCAGCTCTCTCTCCCTCATTTTTCACTATTAAACTTGTAGAATAGGAATGTTGGTAAGAAAGATACGTGATAAAGTTATTTATGTGTAATTTGTCATACGTCAGTGTGATAAGTTTCCTTTTTTGGGGGGGCAGTTTCCGGTACCGGGAACCGAACTCACGACCTTGCGCTTGCCAGGCAGGTGCTGTGCCGCTGAACTAAATCTCTAGCCCCTATGTGATAAGTTTCATTGCAGATTATTTACTACAATATTTGGGTTTACCATAACAGAAAAAAAATATGGCTTCTGTAACTTTAAAAAAAATACTATCTCTGTAGGATTTTCAGAGCATGTGAAATGTGCTTTGATAAATTAGATAAAATAATCTAGCACAGTGCCCTTTACATAGTAAAGTCTGTAAAGCAATTTTATTTATTTCTGTACTGGAATAATAAATAAATAAAAGCAAGGCTTTGACACATGCTAGCCAAGCATTCTACCTAATGTTGAGTACATTCACATTCACCTAATGTTGAGTACGTTCTACCTAATGTTGAGTACATTCACAGCCCCATTTTTGGGGTTTTGTTTGTTTGAGTGGATTGTGCTTTTTTTTTTTTTCCTCTACAATTTTGGAACACTTTTAAAAGTAATTTTTATTTAACATAGTAACATAATAACCCGCATTGAATCTCAAGTGTCTTGTAGGTTGATGTGTATTACCTGTTTGGTTTACAGAAGAACTAGAGCTTGTATCTAGCATTTTTAGTTTATATATTGATGTCTGTGAGCAAGAACCACCATTGTGCTAAATTGAGTTTTCTTTTTCCTTTGTCCTTCAGATCATTGTTATGTATTTACAAGTCTTAGAATGTGAACGTAATCAAACCCTGGTTCAAACTGCCTGGTAAGTTGCTTTTTTTGCATTTTACTTCTAGCCAGGAAAACAGAAGCAGAAATAAAGTAAGTTTCATTTTCTTTTTCCAAAATAATGAGATAAGTTTGGGGTTTCTTTTTTTTTAATTTAACCATAAGGTAAATAATGCTTATTTCTGCTTCCTGTTTTCTTGGCTTGACTAATTACTTTTAATGGAGAACTCAATTTAACTTTGTTCTTTTTTCTACTCTTTAATTAAAGGGTAGTCCATGATGGTAAGTCATAGAACTCTGCCCTCTGCACTTCAGCCCATGACCTCAGGATGGCCTGATTGGCTGCCCTGCTCTCCAGCCAATCCAGTGCAAGCTCTCATCCGAGATTCACTGAAGTGGTCCATATCCATCTGGCAGCATCTTCTAGTTCTGTCGGGGTGTCAAAAGGATTTGTATATTTGCTTCTAGAAGTAACTATTCAACATGCCTATGTATTTAATGTATACCTGTAACTATCAAAATGAATAGTTCATTTTTGATAAATTTGTTTGTCCAGCCATTATAAATTAAATGTTTTTTTTTTTTTAATTAGGAGTTTAGCTAAATTTCTATATATAGTATATGTAGCATGAATTCAGTCAAAGAGGCTACAGCCTGCATCTTTAAATGGGTTCCAGTGCCCTTGCTGGGTTAATTTACAGTTGCTGTGCTGTTGCAGACAATAATACAGTAAGACTTCATTTTTCAAGAAGTTAATATGACTTGAATGCTCTTGAACTTGGACCTTTGAGATGCAGATGTGTGTTTTGAAGTGCTGGCTGTGGTCAAGCAAGGAGATTGTGGCTCAGCCACAGCTCTATTTCATAAGCTGTTGATGTGCAAGACTTAATTTTAACTTTTATGTTCTGGACTTTTCTGGCGAAACGGCTTTTTTTATGACTGCCATGCATCTTTTGGACTCCATAAATACTTAGTAATATCACAAAAATCTTTACTCCATTTATAAAATGCATGACTTTTTGATGTGTTCTATACAACAGAGTTTAGTAGTTTTCATGGTAAGGACTTTTAAGAAATAATTCATTTCATTTCAGCCTAAATAATTTGTGGATTTTTAGTTTAGGAATATTCGTGGGGAGGGCTCATTAAAAATTCCAACAGTTTATTAATTGATATAGTTTATTGCTGTTGTTTATACTGCAAAAAAGGTACGTAAACAAGATGATTGTGTATTTTTATTGCTTTTCACTTCGCTACCTAGACTTTTCTCAAGCAGCTTAGTTTTCTTAATAAAGTCTTACAGAAAGTGCTCTTTTACCCGTCACCGTTATTTTGAGTTTTTGAAAGAACTTGGTTGGCACTGCTTTTCATTATGGATAAAGGAGAGATGGTCAGTAATTAATGGCTTGAAGTATTATTGGAGTGGTTTATCATTTCTGAAAATAGTCATGTCAGAAGTGACTTAGAAAGCATTGCTTATTACAGAAACACATTAAAGGGTAGCATGGATAAGCTGATTTATTTAAAGGGGCTTTGGTCATATAGGGGACAACTAAATGGTTCTAGAATTACAGTCTTACTAACTTTCTTGAGTTGAGAATTGTTATGTGCTATGAGAATTGTTATGAGGATATGAATATAAGAGAAGAAAAAAGAATAAAGTAGATTGAGTCTCCAAATTTATTTAAGCTTCAGAAGAACTGGTTGGTTTACATACACAAAGCTTATAGTTGAAATGTTTTTCAGGAATTATATGAATGACAGTCTTCGAACCAATGTTTTTGTTCGCTTTCAACCAGAGACTATAGCATGTGCTTGCATCTACCTTGCAGCTAGAGCACTTCAGGTGGGTTTATGTAGCCTGTTTTGTGCTGTGGGTTAAATCCTAAGAGTTGTCAGCAGTTCCAGTAAAACTAGCAATGATATAATCTAAAATTCTCTCTCCGTGGCTTAGATTCCATTGCCAACGCGGCCCCATTGGTTTCTTCTTTTTGGTACTACAGAAGAGGAGATCCAGGAAATCTGTATAGAGACGCTTAGGCTTTATACCAGAAAAAAGGTACTAGTTTTTCTCAGTTAGTACTAATATTGTCAGTGCCAAGAAACTAAACACTGCTAAAGGGTACTAACTTAATTTTCCTTCAACAGCCTAATTATGAACTGCTGGAAAAAGAAGTAGAAAAAAGAAAAGTAGCCTTGCAGGAAGCCAAATTAAAAGCAAAGGGATTGAATCCTGATGGAACTCCTGCCCTTTCAACACTTGGTGGATTTTCTCCAGCCTCTAAACCATGTAAGATAAATTCAGAATAGAAATTACCTGGGGGCACTGAAACTTTCGACATGTTCTATACAACAGATTTTAGTAGTTTTCTTAGGTAAGAACTTTCCAGAAATAATGCATTTCATTTCAACCTAAATAACTTGTGTGTTTTTAGTTTAGGGATATTCCTGGGAGGGCTCATTGAAAAGTTTCCTCATTGGAAAGGTTCAGCGTGTATCAGTTCTTTAGAAACAGTTGCATTAAAAAAAAAAAAAAGAAAAGAAAAAGCAGTTATGAAAAGAAAACAGTCACTGTTTTCTTTCCTAGCCCTCAGCTGAAGGTGACACTTGGAACTACTTTGAGTTGCAGTTAGAAACTTGTAACCCTTTCTTAAATCTAGTAGTTAACATGTTTATTGTTATGTCTTTCAAAAGCATCACCAAGAGAAGTAAAGGCTGAAGAGAAGTCTCCAGTCTCTATCAGTGTGAAGACAGTCAAAAAAGAACCTGAGGATAGACAGCAGGCTTCCAAAAGCCCTTACAATGGGTAAGTATTCTTGACTAAGAAAACTAATTTGAAGACTCTTGTTTTTAAGTATTAACCAAAATACTTTGCTTTTTGAAGTGTAAGAAAAGACAGCAAGAGAAGTAGAAATAGTAGAAGTGCAAGTCGGTCAAGGTCGAGAACACGATCGCGTTCTAGATCACATACTCCAAGAAGACAGTAAGTACATGATTCCTTAGGGAAAGCAGTCTTATTTGGAATCTGTAAAGGTTATTGCTCTTACTGAAAAGATTGGGCTGAGCCCATTTTAAAAATCAGGCTTGGGTTAGGCTTTTAAGCATAAAATATATTATAGAAATGAGCTTGGGGATATGTTCTAGATGTGTGTTTGTTCGTGGGTAGTGTACCATAATGACATTCTGTATTCTTTGTTTTTTGGAGCAGTACAGAGGCTGCCCACAAAGTACTATATAAAAATATATAATGTCCTGTTTATACTGTGAACGTATTCCTATTCAGTTTCAATTAGAAAGTGTCACTATTTAAAATGTCTTAATAACCAGTAAGGTTAACCAAAGCCAAAGAATCGTCCCTCGTCAGTTTTATAATTAGATTGTAGATTCCTTGTGGCTCTTAAACCATGTGAAGCTAGCATAGGCTCTAGGATACTTTGTAAAAATTGCTAATTTCTCCCTTTGGAAAGCAGAGTACATTTCTAATACATTAATAGGCTTCAGTGAGATGATTGAGGGATGGGAAGATTCAGAAAAGTTTTTAGTTTCTGACTTGTCCTTGAGTTAGCCAGTGTTTTAAACGTGTTCATGAACAACAACTAATAATAATCTGTTCCCTGTAGAAACTAAATCTAAACCTCAAATTTTTATTATCTAAGTTACAATAATAGGCGGAGTCGATCTGGAACATACAGCTCAAGATCAAGAAGCAGGTCCCGCAGTCACAGTGCAAGCCCTCGAAGACATCATAATCATGGTTCTCCTCACCTTAAGGCCAAGCATGCCAGAGATGATTTAAAAAGTTCAAATAGACATGGTCATAAAAGGAAAAAATCCCGTTCTCGATCTCAGAGCAAGTCTCGGGATCACTCAGATGCCGCCAAGAAACACAGGCATGAAAGGGGACATCACAGGGACAGGCGTGAAAGATCTCGGTCTTTTGAGAGGTCCCACAAAGGCAAGCACCATGGTGGCAGTCGCTCAGGACACGGCAGGCACAGGCGCTGACTTTCTTCCTTGGAGCCTGCATCACTTCCTGGTTTTACGTATCTGCAGTATGATGTATGGACTCACAAACCATTAAGAGCAAACTGATTAGGATTTGATTTCTTAAAACCCTCTAGGTCTCTACAAACACTGAGGACATTTTCTTTTGAAAAAACTATGTTAAATTTTTTTGCACATTGAAATGCCCTAGCAGTATCTAATTGAAAACCATGGTCAGGTTCAATTGTACTTTATTATAGTTGTGTATCGTTTATTGCTATACAAACTGGAGCGTGAATTCTGTACAAATGTATCTTATTTTTATACAGATAAAAATTGCAGACATTGTTCTATTTAAGTGGTTATTTGTTTAAATGATGGTGAATACTTTCTTAACACTGGTTTGTCTGCATGTGTAAAAGATTTTTACAAGGAAATAAAATGCAAATCTTGTTTTTCTAAACTGCTTCAAATATCTTATTTAAATAAATTATTAAAAAGCAAATTTTTACAGTAAAATGGCTGCACTAATTTTCTGACACAGCATATTTTTCTTACCCACCTTCGTTATAGGTGTATTAAAGTAATAGGGGTTACTAAAGTAATTCTTCGCTACGTGTGGCGTGCCTGTAATCCCAGCAACTCTGGTGGCTGAGGCAGGAGAGTTTAAAGCCAGCCAGTTTAAAATTTAGTGAGACCCTCTCAATGAAAAGGGCTGGGGATCTACCTTAGTGATAGAGGCCTTGTCTAGTATGGGCAAAGCACTGTTTTTAGCTCCCAGTACTGCAAAACAGTTTTGTCTATATTTGGAGCTATTAAGCAGCCTTAACTACATGTATGAGGAAAAGCAGGTGAGGGTGGCCTAGTAATGTAGCTTTAAATGTTAACCTTGTACTTCTAAAACCTAATTTACACTTGAATCATACCAGAAGGTAATTTAAGTTAGGTGTAAGTACTATTTCTACAGTAAACTGCCCCATTAAACCAAAATTAGCAACATAAGTGAAAGTAAGGCCCAATCATTGAGCTTTAACTTTTTTTTCTTGTCTTTTTGAGACAGGTTCTTACTGCAGTTCAGGCTGGCCTTGAGCTCACTTTGTAGCCCAGGTGGCCTCAGACTCAAAATATGATCCTGCCTCAGCCACCTGAGTGCTGGGGTTACTAATGTGTGCCACCATGCCCAGCTACATTTTTTTGGTATAATTTAGATACTTAGTGATTTTATCTGGGATGGAAGAGTTTAATAATAAAGTGAGGTTCCTAATCCTGCACGGGTGATGCAGGAACAACTGCAAAAAGATGAAAAAGCCAAGACTCATACCCAAGTGCGTCAGGCGACGTGGAAAGGGGTTTCCCCCAGCAGACATAAATTTAGGTATCTTAATGAGTTTGATTATAGTAACATTAAATTTTCTGTTAGTTTTTTCGCCTGCTTACATTACTTACCTTGTCCATTAGACTTGGCTCCAAATGAGTTGCAGTTTCAAAGCATCAGATAAATTCACAGAGGAGGATTTATTGCCATAAGGAAGCTTCTGAAGAGGTTTCGAAAGGACTATCAAGTTTTCACCAGTAGCAGGCAGTGGGTCTGGAAAAAGGTACCTCTACAAGACAACTTTAAAGGAGTCAAGACTTACTTGTTATTTAGATAGAAAAGTGTCTGGGGCTGGGTATGGTGGTGCACACCTGTAGTCCTAGCACTTGGAAGGCTGAGGCAAGAGCATCTCCCATTAGTTCCTGGCCAGCCTAAGTTCAAGGTCAGCCTGAGCTGCATAGTGAGATCCTGTCTCCAAAAAAAAAAAAGTGCTGTGCTACTTAGGTCAGTTGTATTTCCAACGGTAAAAACTAATGTGGTGTATGCCGGTAGTCTTTGCACTCTGAAAAACCTAAGGCAGGGGGATTTTAAGTTTGAACCTAGCCTGGGCAATTTAGTGAATTGATGACTCCCTGTGTCAAAAAACTGACATAGCTTGAATTAGTAACTCATGCTAACTTGATAATTCATTAGGACTGACTTCGATATGACCTCATACTTAAAAGTTTGTATTTTAGCAAGTAATTTTCTAGTAAACATGGCGTTTCATATTTCTGAGCTGCAGATTGATACTTCTGAAGAATTTTAATTGCTTCTAAACTATTTTAGAAGATTGGCTGTGAAGAAAGGCAGATGTCAACAGAGGTCCTGTCAGCAAATTAATCTTGGATTGTCAGTGTCTAAGTCTGCTTGGATAGAGAACTCGGTGAGGGTTGTCTGTAAAGCTGGAAAGTTGGGCAGTGTACACCTGCCTGTCGGGTGATACTTGTATGTTAAAGGCGTTTCTAAGAGTTGGCTTTGCATGCTCGACAAGTATGTCTTTCAGTCTAATTTTTTATTTCTTGTGTTTTCGAAGTTCTGGTTGAGTTTACAACCTTGTGCTACTCTTCTGTTTATGTTTTGTGAGACGGTATCTCCATGTGTGAAGTGATCCTCTTGCCTGAGCCTCCTGAGTGCTGGGATTAGTGTTGTATACCACACTGCTTAGCTTCTATCTCTATTTTAAAACATTTACTTAACAATATGCAGGCTGAGGATGTAGCCCAGTGGTGTAGTAGGACTTGCCTAGCTTGCACAAGGCCCTAGGTTCCATCCCCAGCACCACCAACCAAAAAACCTACATTTTCAAATTTCCGGGACATTTCAAACAGGAGAGAATGGAATACCTAGTCTAGTCCTATACCTATCAGAATAATGAATGGATCAATTTGTGGTCAGCCAGCCTTGTTTATAACCTATGAATTCACCACTGCTCGCCTTTACTTGGAAGAAAATTGCACACAAGTGTTTTCATACCTCATCAATCTAAAAAGTAAGGACTTTTAAAATAACCCCACTACTTCTATTATAGAAGTTAACACTACAAAGTATCCATGTTTACTTAACTATTTCTAATCCTTTGTTTTTATAATTGGCTTATTCAAACAGAGTTCCTACATGCCGCTCTGGCTTTAATCACAGATTTGCCATATTTTTTAATTTACTGAAACGGGGTCAGAGTCTAAGGAATTTTCCATACTCTAGGTTTGCTTACGGTAGGACAACATTTTTCTGTATTGTTTTTCTTGTAAACTTGACAACTGTTGAGCCTTGGTCAGATTCAGGTTAGGGGACCTTAATCTTTCCCCTCTGGAGACTAAACCCAATTCCTCTTGCGTGCTAGGCAAGTGCCCTATCACTAAGCAGTTTACCTACTTAGTCTCTTGTTTTGTTTTGTTTTGTTTTGAATTGGCCTGAAATTCAGAAGTGTTCTGTAAAGAGCCTTATACTGTGTGTGATTCCAGAAGTAGTGCTAGGTTTCTGCCTCATTTACATGGTATTTTATTGAGTTCCCAATTCTGGTTTATTTTGTTGTTGTTATACTCAGGATGTAACCCAGGACGTTGTTCATGCTAGACAAGACTCCACCACAGATCTGCACCCTCATCTACGGTCTCACTGAGTTGCCCGGGCTGATTTCAAATTGGAAATCATCATGCCTCCGTTCCCAAATAGCTGGAGCTATAGCTGTGTGCCATCACACCCATCTTTGAGTTCCCAGTTTTTTTTGGTTTACTCTTTGGTTTTTCTGAAACAGTCTCACATGTAGTTTAGGCTACTCTTGAACTCACTGGCTCAGGCTGGCCTTGAACACAGAGTAATCCTCTTGCGTTCCGGATGCTGGGGTGACAGGCGTGCGCCACCACACCCTGCCTTGAATTCCCAGTTCTTAATTTTTTGGTGCTTGCAGCCTTGGTGTGTTCGTTGTGTGTGTCTGTTCTATCTTACCTTTTTCCCCGCTGCAGCCATAAATCATCTTAATGTAAATAACTTGTCCTAATGATTCTAGCTTCTCATCTGAGTTTCTTGTTTTTATAGAATACTGGTCATCTTTTATAATTTGGATTTTTACTCTAAAGGACCAGTAGCATTCTCAACTGCTTTCTCATTTTAAAACAAAGCAAACATAAAATGGCCACAGATCAAGCACCCCTAGCCTGAAACTTGAAATGATTTAGAATCTCACAACTTTTTGAAGCTGATACGGTATCACTAATCTAATGGTTCAGTGTACATAAAACATGCACAAAATTATTAAAAATATGTAAAACTTACTTAAAGATTGTGGACCATGTACGTGAAACACGAGTTTCATGTTTAGATTTGGTTCCTAATCTGAAAATATTCCATTGTGTATGTGTACATATTCCAGAGTCTGAAAATACCTGAAACTGTTCCGGTTCCAATCATTTCAGGTAAGGGATATGCGGTCTGCTCTTCACTGAAGTCCTGTTTTGCTTTAATAGCTTCATATATTAGCATCAAGAATCTTTTTTATTTAAACACTGAGTTTGCATGAACGTTTTCCAAAAGCAAGAGAATCTTATATTTATTTGGTCTAAGAGTGGTACTGGGGACTGAACTCAGGGCCTTACACATGCTACCCAGGCACACAAAATTACATCGTTAGTCCCTTTTTTTTGAGACGAGGTCTTGCTAAATTGTCCAGGCTGTCCTCAAACTTGTGATCTTCCTGCCTTGGCCTCCCAGAGTGCTAGGGTCACAGGTGTGTACTACCATACCTGGCAGCAAAGGTTTTTTTAAGGTAACATTTTAAAAAATCAATTTTAAAGCACGGCATGCTAAGAGGGCTTACTTTAGCTGGAGACACGGAGAATGCACACAAAGTTTGATAAGTAAACCACTCTCCCCCTTGTGAAAATCCCCTTGTATCCACAGGAGCCATCTATGATAGGAAGGTGAATGAATTTACATACTACTGATTCTGTGACACTTAGACACTGTTGTCTACATTCGTGCTCTCCTGTCTCTCAGCCTTAAACATTTATCCAGCTGCATTTCCATGAATGTGTGTGTTCCTTCTATAAAAGTAAGAGTAGGTGTTTGAAGCTCATGGCCTTAGCAGCCAGGGGTAGCAGACTGGGGGGACCTGGGCCAAATCTTGGCCTGCACATGTATTTGACTTGGTATGTTTTAAATGAACTAGCAGCCAGAAACTAAAAGCCTGTTTAGCTCAGAGGGAAGCTTGTGTGGGAAACAGAACATCGGAGCAGACAGTAGAGATTATGGAGTCACTGCCTGCGTGCAGTGCCTAGCCAGCATTCGCTAACTGACCTTTACACCAAGCCACTCTAGGCTTTTCTTGTCCCATCTGTAAAAGGTTAGTAATTGAACCTACTGTGCTCAGGTATTGTGCGAGTTGAAGGAAATGTATATAATGCACTCAACAGTGTTAGGTGTGAGGTTCACTGAATTTTACTATAGTTACCAACACTTGAGAGGTTTGTGGATGCCAGACTAAGGTATTATTGTTTTAAACAGGGAAGTTGTATTATTTTTCTATGGCTGCTCCCTAGAAAACTACCACACACCTGGTAGCATAAAGCAATACATCTCTTGATAGTTTAGGAGTCTTAGAAGTCTGAAATCAAGGTGATAGCAAAATCATGCTCCTTCTGAAAGCTTCTTACCTTGTGGTGGCTTCTGGAAATCCTGGTGTTTTTTTTTGTTTTTTGGGTTTTTTTGTCTTTTTGAGACAGGTTCTCACTGCAGTTCAGGCTGGCCTCGAGCTCACTTTGTAGTCCAGGCTGATCTTGAACTCACAGCAATCCTCCTGCCTCAGCTGCCCAAGTGCTGGGATTACAGGCAGGCACCGCCATGCCCAGCCGTAATCCTTGTGTTCTTTGACTTGTAGTTGCATCACTCATTTTGGCCTGTCTTCCCGTGGTCGTCTAGTGAGGATTCCAGGGTCTAGCACAGTGTAATGAAACCGTGGCACGGGTGTTACTCACTTTTTCTTTTAAAACAAAATATATTAATGTAGAGTTGTTTTTTTCTAAACTAAGACCTCAGTACTGTATTCAAAAAAAAAAGTGTTGGCACTTTGTGGTAGATAAGTGGGTTTTGGGTTGCAGTTTGGCACTTGGTCTCTGAAAGGTCTACATCCAGTATGGTATCATACTAACCAGTCTGTAGACTCTATTTCCAAGTAAGGTCACATTCAGGTTCTAGGTGGACATGAATTTGGGGGACACTTCATCCCACTATAATGACGTAAGAAAAACATATTAATGATCAAAGAAACTGAAATGAACATTTAATTTCTTTTTTTAAATTTTGAAATTCGTTTTTGATACCGGGAATTGAACTCAGGACCTTGCACTTGCCAGGCAGGTGCATATGCTGCTGAACTCGATCCTTGGCCCTAAAATAATTTTAGATTTACAAAAAGTGGCAAAGATACAAAGACCTGTATGTCCTTCATCCAGATTCTACAAATACTAACATTGTACCACATGGAGGTTCCATGCTATGTAGTATCTTTTTTTCTTGTGAGTTGCTGTCATGAGGCTCTTACCTGTAAGTGCTTCAGTGTGTTTTCCTCATATCCATAATATAGTTATCAAAATCTGGAGTTTACGATATGGACCGATACTGCAGTACATTGACCTGATTCACCTCTTGCCAGGTTTTCTGCGAATGCCCCATTTTCTGGAATGCCCACGATCCAACCTATGTATCATATCTCTTTAGTCTCCTTTCATCTGGACTGATCTTTGATCTGTCTTCGCTTTCATGACTTGGCATTTTAAATTTAAAAAAATACTATTTAACCCAAGGAGAGCTGAGCTATATCCCCAGCCTGTTATCATGGTGGTTATTATCATTATTGTTGTGCTGGAGTGGAACCCACAACCTTTGTGCTGAGCTACATTCCCAGTCCTTTTTCTGCTTTTTATTTGGAGACAAGGTCATCTAGCCAGGTCACTGAGCCTCCCTGGATGTCCTCAGACTCGCATTTCTCTATCTTTGGTATCTGGAGTAGTTGGGATCACAGGCAAGGGCCGCTGCATCTGGCTGTAGATTTTTATTTTTAATTGACACAGTGATTGCACATACTTATGGGGCCAGTGTGACATTTCAGTGTCTGTATGCAATGTGCCGTGACCAGATCAAATGGCTTTTCTACCACTTCAATATCTTGGTGTTTTTGAGGACTAAACCAATGATTTCGTAAAACATCCCTTCATTTGGGTTTGTGCAGTGCTTCCTTGTGATTAGAGTTTCGTGGTTTCGAAAGAATACGACAGAAGCAGGTGGTTTCTTTACCACTGTGTAATATTAGTAGGCCCGTGATGTCAGTTTGTTAACATTAACTAGAAGCGTTAACTTTACCACTTGCATTAACTTCATAAATATTCATTGATGATGAAAATGTCTCCTTATCCAGTGTTGACTTCAGTCACTGGTTAAAGAGGCGCTGACAGTGTTCATCCGAAAATGTTACTGTTTTTCCCTTTGTGTTTAACAAATATTCACAGGGGAGATACTTTGAGATCATGTACACATTTTAAAACCATCCTCCTACCTACCAGTTTTGGCATGGGTTGATGGCTTTTGTTTGAAACAGTTATTGAAAATGTTTCTTAACTCCGCTGTTCCCTCTGCATCTGTTGCTTGCATGCTCAGTGTAAGAGTTTATCCATCTTCCTCCTTTATCCCATTTCTTTCTACTTAATCAATATGAACTCATTGTTCAGAGTTACTGTTATTTTGTTGCTCAAATTATTGCAGATATTTTATTCCCTTTAAAGCAGTTCCTGTGTCCTCTGAGACGGACATTTATTTGAAAGCCTTTCCCCCACATGTGTGACTTTCTCTCGATGTGTGGGTGTCACCAGAGCCCTTGGGACCCTCAGCATGGACTAGAGCGGATGAAGGGATTCTGAATGTCAAGATGACCCCACTGCCAATGTGCAGGGCTTCTCGCGGCTGCTCTTTCCAGAACAGCCGTCTTTTTGGTCCAGGGCAACCTTCCCCTGGCACGATTAGTTCCCACATTCCAATCTGTTCTTTCCTGGCAGTGCCCTTTAGTTCCGGTACAACTCAGTAATAAATGCGGTACTTACGCCACTAGAGGTCACTGTTTGGCTACATGCAATGGAAGATCCCTCCGGGTTTCCACAGGGATTTATTTCCAAAGTCACACCAGTGTCTTTACATCTCTCTACCTAAGCCTTATTAAGACCCTTAGTCCTGACTTGAACATTTGATAACTCTGAAGATACACACTTTTGCTAAAATCTACTAGCAAAATAAAGATAGCAATAGGACCTATGATACGTGACTGTAAACCCAGCCAGCACTTGGGAGGCTGAGGCAGGAGAATCAAAAGTGTAGGCCAGCCTAGACTACATAGCAGTGAGACTCTGCTTTTTTTTTTTTAAAAAAAGAAAGAAAGTAAAATATCAAATCTTATTTATATAAGCAACATGCCAGATGCTATTCTATTTCACATATATGAACTCATGTAATAGCTTTCAAGAATTCTATGGTAGGAAAGAAATCCATGACGTTGTGATTTCACACAACTGAAATGGTTGAACCAGGTTTTGAACCCAGCATGGTTAAACCCAGCATAGTGGCTGAGCCGGCACTTAAACCCCGCATGTTCCAAAGTCCATATACTAAGTCACTAGACTATGCGGCAGCCTGCACGGCTTTTAGAGTCCCATTTTAATCTAATCTTCCCACACCCGAGCCTGGGCCTCTTTGTAAAGCATCTTCATAAGATTTGAAATCAACAGAGGCTGGCAGTGCGTGCTGCGTGCCAGTTGTGTGTTACTGGGCACTCGCCCAGCAAGAGTCATGGGGATACCACACCTTAGCCCAGCCGCTGCGGTTGCCAGCTAAGCCCTGCCAGCCGTGGGGCTCCTCCTACCACCCCATGCAGTCTTGCGCCCAGAGAACCCGAGCCCAGCAACTTTTCTCTGTGTGGCCTTGCTTCCGAGAAGCAGTAGCAGCTTGTTTCGGAAGCTGCCGTAAATTGAGCCCCGAGGTACGCTGATAAAGAAAGGGTGTGGGTTCCAGAGTTAGACTGGCCTGTGTTACAGGTCTGCTCCTCCTGCTCAGTGGTGGCGTAGCCTTAGGCACAGTTGCTTAACTCTTCTGAACCCGAGTTTCCTAATTGTGGGTTGGTTATAATATTTCCCTTTGTAATTGTGAGAGTTAGTGGTATACGTGCAGACCCTGGCACAGGTAGAAGGTATTGATGTGTTTTCACTGCCATCATTTTCTTAAAAGCACAGTTTCTCAGCAACCAGTGAAGCTGCCCCTGATACCATGTCATAAGTGGATTTCTTTTTCCTTAACATAGTGTCTCTTACAGCCTGTGTAATTCCTTGCGCAATTCAAAAACATTACTCTCTGTCGACAAGTGTCATTTCTTGTGCCTGGCCTGATTATCCAGCTAGGCTCTAGTCAGGTCTCTTTGTACCTCTTCCTATCCCTAGTCTTAACCAGGGACCCCAAACAGCTAAGTCCTGATTAAATACCTGCTGAGGATGGAGATTAATTGCAGTCAGTTCACAGGTTCTTATGGTGTATTTACTGTGTTAGACAATGGACCAGATTCTGAGACTACCGAAATGAGAAAAACTTAACCTCTTATTACGGGAGTCCTGCTGTGGCTAAAAGTGTCTGCAAAGGCCTGAAATAGTGAATGCACCTTTTTAAGTTCTAACTCCTGAGAAATGACTTTTCTTTGTTGGGCAAGCTGGTTCACCGTGTCCCAAAAGGAAGTAAAAGCTGAGCTCACAGCCCAGAGCCCTCTCATGCTGGAGAATACCGAACATGGCACTTACCAGGAAGCGCAGGGCCATTGAGGGCCTCGCCATGCTTTCCTACCACCCGACCCTGACAGTCAGCCCCGCAGCCAGGGTCCGGTCAAGGCTGAGAGCTGCTGAGCGAGACAGCCTGTTGCGCTCCTCACCACAAGGGGTCAGTGTGAGACCAAGGACCAACGCGGTCAGTGCTGGAGTTCCCCCTGTGAGTCACTAGCAACACAGTATCTGGATGATTTGTTCTGGGGTGGAGCAGAGGAAAGGGCAGAAAGTGGGTCAGAAAAATGAAACCATCTGTTGAATTCACAAGGTGCCACAAGTCATGAGTTCTACCAATGTTCAACTGACTTTTAAGTATTTTTAGTGCAAAGAAATAAGATAATTTGATGGTTTCAGAAAACAAGTGCTGTTGGAGACCAACGTGATAATTGAAGAAACACCACGTGTTAGCAAAAGTTTTCCTTTCTCATTTGCGAAAACAAAAATCACTTTATTTTTTTTCCAGGAGGAGGAAGACTTTCAGAAGTTAAAAGAAATACAGTTGACTGACTAAATCTCCCTCTGCAATAGAATAAAGAGTCTTCGCTCTTATCTTGGTTCAGAATTGGCCAGCAGCCTCAGTGTGGGCACTTTATAAATATTCATTGATGAAAATGTCTCAGTGCAAAGGAAGCATTCTGTCATTTCAAGAACCCTTTTGAAATGCCAGTGATTGAAGCAGGGTCTCGACTACCCTTTGCAAATCTTAACAAGAAAGGCCCAGTTCAGCTGGTCACATGCACCGAAGTGGAATGAGGGCACCGGATTCATCTCTCCTGGAGGCTGGGGCTGTGACGATGCTTACAAAGAGCAGAGCGAACCGAAGCCGTGGGGAGGATTTTTAAACAACCACTCCCAAAACATCCAAGCAGTTGAGATTCAGCAATTCCACTTTGTGGAAAAAAATGTCCTCATTTCACTTTGTACTGGGTACGGAGGCTGTGCCTATAAACAGAAATTGTTAAAGTCGGAACAGGGCATGGCAGTTCATCTCGGTCATCCTAAACCGTCCCAACCAAGATGTGTCGGCTGAGTTGAGGAACATCCAAAGAGAACATGGAGAAACAAATGCCCTGGTGTGTTGGCTGATCAAGGTCTGCTTGTTTTGGCCCAGGCGCACCTGGCCTGAGCCCATGTAATCTTGATAAACAAACATGAATGCGCCTCAGTCACCATTACCCACGCAGCCTGTGTTGGTAAAGCTGGGTTATGGCTGAATCGAGCCAGGATGGCTTGGAGACTTTCCCTCAGAGACCTGGGCTGTGTGCAGCTCCACAGAGACCTCTTTCTGGGATCCAAGACACACTTTGCATTTGCCAGTGGTTGACTCAGGCCGAGGCAGGGGTGGGACAGCCACTGCTTGGGTGTGGGCCTGGGCTATCTTGGGCCTGGGCTAACTTAGGCCTGGGACAGAGCAGTCCTGTTTCCTCCCCCAGCCCCCTGCACCGCAGCCCTCACCCCTGCAGCACTAGCACCGCTGGTGAGTGGCTCAAACCTTTTTCAGCAGTGGAGGGGCTACTGGGGTAGTGCTTCCCTCCCTCCACGGGCCCTCCGCTCTTGTACTGTGCCTAGTCTCACACGCACACCTGGCTGAGCAGTCTTCACGTGGGGTCCCAGGCTTGTGGGTGAACTCTGAGGCTCCCACCATGACCCGTGTCGTGGACTCTGCTCCCGGGAGAGTGGTGTGCTCCTCCGGGTTCAGGGCAGGACATGGCCACAGCTTTGGCCCTCTGACCTCGGCCTCCCACACACACCTCTCGTTCCAGTGCCCTCCTCGCCGCCTGCCCCTTGCCCTCGCCGCAGCTCCCTTTCCTTCCTGCCTCAGGGACTGGCTGAGAACTATGTGCGAGACAGACCTTTGCTGAGATGTAGGCGTCCCCATTCCCTCACAAGTGGGAATGGCTGGGAAAGGAAATGAGCGCAGGAAGTTTAGAAGCGTGATGTCATCCAATCCCGCCTTCCTCCCTGTGAGGAAAGCCTTATTATTCCAGTAAGTGCCAGAAAGGCATTGAGGTTAAGAGCTGATGCTAACGCCTGACTTCAGGTCCAGCTTTCTTTTCTGTGCCTGTGGGTGTGCCTGCTATGCCAGAAAGTGGGAGGTGAGCTACTATGGGCGCTGAATAGGTTAACACAGGCAGGGTTAGATTACTGCCATATTGCTGACCATTATACCTTAGGGATGAGAGAACGGAGTCCCCGCGTGGGGAATCTGGACTCCTTGAGGTTCGCCTCATCCCGCGCAGCTTTTCTCCGGTATGGGAAAGTACCATCCCTTCTCCAGGAAGGCCGTATTCACTGCATGGCCAGAGACCTCAGCAAGCTTGAGACCAATGTGCAGGGAGGATTTGGGGAATTATCTGAGTTGTCTTTGGGCCTCTGAAGTTCTGTCCTCTGAACTGAGGTTGTCCAGATACTAGCAGTGGGCCCAGCTGTTTTGGAGAGCTGGTGGCTGAGGGCCGTGGACCTGGAACCTGGCTCCTCCCCAAGCCAGGCTGAGGCCACATGGCCAGCACGGCCCTCTCTCCTCTCCTCATACCTGTCCCTCCCCTGCGGTTTGGGTAGGACTGTGTGAAAACAGGAGGTGGAATGTAAACCCAGGTCTGCTTGACTTCAAAGCTCATGTTCCCTCCGGTCTTATCTTGGTCACTTCCCCTGCAGCTGCGCAGGCCTCTGGGGCAGACAGACAAAGGTCACAAGGGTTGACACACTCGAGATTTGGCCTTTGTATGCAAGGAAGAGGATAGGAAACTGAGACAAAGGCCAGTGCTGGGTACAGTCATACCTATACATAGCTGAGTTATCTGATCACTCAATTTGCAAATCCGGTCAATGGGGAGGTCACGTGCACTTACCTAACATGCTACAAGGGACTCCCTTTGGCCCCAAAGCAGGAAAGTGTCCTCAGGTGTTCTCGGAACGTTTTCTGGAGCTCACGTGGTAGCCCAAATCAATACTTTCCTAATTTGTGATCTTGGGCAAATCTCATAACCTCTCTGAACCTCAATTTCCTAACGTGTAAAGCAGGACAAATAATCCTTACCTCCCAAAGTTCTCTTGATGAGGTGACGTATGTTCAAAGGCCTGGCCCACAAGACATGCTGCTGACTTGTGAGTTTCCCCAGACTGCATAGGAACACAAGTGTGCTCTCAGGTAGCGCCAGCCCGGCAAGGGAAGATCTGGAAGAAGGCTTCCTGCCCACTTGCTGAGCCTCTGACCTCACACTGGCGAATGCGAGCCCCTGTGTCCCCTCACTGCACTGTGGCTGTCACGAGCCCTTCTCAGGAAACTGGCCCAGAGCCGCATCTTGTTCAGCTGCCTCCGGGGCCTCAGCCTCTGTGCCTGACCACCTGCTCCTCCGCATCGGGCTCGCAAGCTTTTCGAAACTGTTCCCACTGGTTTCATGACGGCCAGACGACACTCGGCACCAAACGGACCAACTTCTTCATTCTGCCACGGGTCCTCGAAGCCCATGGTCCTGCCAGCCTAGGAGCGCAGAGGATACAGGACCAGGGGCGGAGTACGAAGGGCAGCTGCCACCCTTCGTACCAGTTCCAAGGCTAGGAAGCAAAATCTAAAAGGAAGCTCCTCTAAAGCTGGGTATCATGGGATCAAAGAAGCAAAGTCTGGAGGAATCTGCCAAGGGAGAAGGGCAAAGGAAGGTGGTTTCCAGTCAAAGGGCACGAGCGTCCGGTCAGGTATTCACCGTGACTGCAGGATGACTGTGACTGATACTTTATTCCACAGGTATGCAGGGTGAAGACTTGCTCCTTTTTGCAGCACTTCCTCCGCACCCCGCAGACAGTTCCCAAAGCGTGAAGGGTTTGCAGCGGGTTTATCTGAGGCCAAGCTGCTGCTCTCGCCTCCCCAGCATGTGACCTCTTGGGCCTCAAGTTCCTCCTGCGAACCCTAGGACGATTCCACCTCAGAGCTGTGGTGAGCAGTCAGTGAGGTCACGTCTGGGGAAGCTCCTCACCCAGAGGGAGCCCAGCAGCCGTGGGGCACTCTAAGTCATTGCTGTCTCCATATTTGTAAAGAAAAGACCACTTTTTAATCAAAGTGTTTGTGACCGAGAGGGATTTGAGAAGGTCTCAAGCCTGCAGAGTAGTTGGGTGCTTTGATTTCTTCCGTTTCTCCATCCTGTCCCCATTGTCTTATGTGGCCTCTCTGGAAAAGCTGTAGCAAAGAACCACAGCGGGCCCCGCACCGGTCTAGAGCAGCAGCCAGCAGCTGGGCGGCAGGCGGGGGAAGGGCTGGCACGACAGCCTCGAGTTAGGGCCTCACTCTGCAGGCTTGCGGTTGTGAGCCATTTCCCCCATCAGAAAACACTGCAGACAAACTGGGCGTGGTAGTGCACAGCTGCGATCTCAGCGCTCAGCAGGGTAAGGCAGGAGGATTGTGAGTTCAAGGTCATGCTGGACCGCAGAGTGAGGCTCTGTCCCAACAAGAAAAGAAATTAACATTGTATCTTATGACCGCACTAGTACAAAAATAGAGTCCAGGCAGGGTGAATGACTATATATTCATTGTTATTATTTTCATTACAAATTTAAGTTTTCCTGTGATGTCAATAGGCATTTTACAGAATGAATTATGAGGAGCAGTTTGGTCAGGAGGGGGCAGCACGAGGTCACCGTACACTCCCGGGAGCCGGGCGGAAGGGAGGGTGGAAAGAGGGCAACTCCACCTCTGACTCACAAAAGGCCTCTGCTTCTCACACTCAGTGAGTGTTGTGTTTGCTCCTCACAAGCGCAGGCCCAGGAAGCCAGTGGGTGGGGCAGGGTTTGTTGGCAAGGGCAGGGTAGGGAGGCTCGCCCCGGGGCGGTCTGTGTCCTGCAGGGTCACAAAGCGGCAGAAGGGAAACCCCCTGGAATCCCCGGGCTTCTCCAGTGATACTGCTCCCTCCGTACCTCAGACCCGCTGGGTGATCCGAGTACCCAAGGACAGGGATCCCAAGGCCAGGCAGCTAACCCCTGCCCCGCCTGACTCCTGAACCATCGCTGGGGAACGGCAGCCCCGAGGGCCTCAGCGCACAGCTCTGCCATCCGCGTCCAGACGGAAGGAGCACTGCGTTCCAGGCCTCCCTTGGGGCCAAGCACGCCTCTGCTCCCTCTCCCCGCAGCCACACGCATGAGCCTGGCAGGTGGGAGACGTGCTTCCCCTCCCTTGGGAACCGAATGATCACTCAGAGGCGTACCAGAGGTGAACTCACAGCGCAGAGGGACGGAGAAGTGAGGGCTGCATGGACTCTGCATGCTCGCATAAGGAAGTATGGCAAAGCAGGAAAGACCAGCAACAAAAGCAAACAAAACACAAGGCATGAAATGATCCGCTCAGGCAGGCAGTTTTCTACCTCCAGGGAGGAACACCCAGCGCGCTGCCTGGCAGTGTAGGGGCACTCCGGGAACAATAGGCCTTTCTTCACCCGGCAGCTGAGCACACACCCAGGAGCAGAGCTCCTCTCGGGAAGGTGAAGTCCGAGCCTCAGCCCAGAGAGTGCGGGGCCGGCTGACAACACAGATACTCGTGTTCACATTCCTCCTGCAAAGGTAAACCCATGTGAAAGACTCGAATTTCCTTCTGAACAAGAAATAAAAGGCTGTACATTTTTCCAGGGAAAATGTAAGATGCCAGCTGACTCTGAAGTGACGTGGCAGGAGGCAACCTGGGGTGGTCTGTTCTTTTTTCAGAAGGAGTCAGTGAAGTTCCAGGAATAAGCAGTTGTGGCCCAGTGGGCCAGGCCCAAGGCAGGGGGAAGGGCCGCCCCCAGAGGCCTGGGTGATAAGGAGGGGTGGGCGGGGCCGCTGGGTGTTCCTGATCATGCTCCAGGGGCAGAGGTGACAGCCACCCCCGAGCAGCGTGTCCTCAGGACTGAGTAGGCGGAATCCCTCCCATGCACATAGCGTGACCGGGTGCTGGTCTGGCTGGGCAGGCCAGACGGGGAGGAAGGACAGACCTGTCATGTGCTTTTGGAGTAAGAGGCACAGTTCAGTTTCTGGTCGCCGCAACCTCACACCTGACCTCCACGGGACCGGACAGGACGGAGAAAGCTCATCACGGTAAGCGGAGGAGCCCCTGGCAGACTGCCTGAGCTCTCCCGAGGCTACGGCCTCAGCACCTTCCTGTGAGGGCAGACCTGGTGAGCACAAGCCACGGCTTATCCAAGCCAAACAGCCATGATGCAGTGAAACTCAGAACAACTGCTCTCCGGAAGTGGGAAGACTTTGAGGATGGTTTGCCTTGATTCCCTCATATTAGTTCTGGAAGGGGCTTCGCAGGACGTGTAGCAGATGCTGACGAGGCCCACCGATGATACAGCTTGCTCCACAGTGACGCGGCAGCAGAAGCAGGAAGCCTTGGTCGCTAATTTATGGGCCAGAGCTCTTGCTGACAGATGACACTACCTCAAAAATGGGAGGTAAAAGTGGCTGGAGGAGTTTTGGGAGCTCTGCTGTCTTCCTGTGGCTGCAGGACTGAAGGTGCAAGGTGAATCTTAACTTTAAGGCCACACCAGAGGTGCTCTCAACAGTGGGATTTCTCAGAGTAGCGGGAAAACGAAAGCACACGGCCAGTCTGAGAGGTCACATGACCGCAAAGCTGGTGACCACACATCTCAGGCACGGTGTGTTGAGATACGCTCTCCTAAGCACTGCGGCTCTGAGGGGAACAGAGGGAGGCTGTGTGCTGCCTTGAGATGAGCAGGCCTGGGAGAGCCGGGCTCTGACTCATCCCTGAGGGCTCTCATGGGCGCCTCTGGCAGCTCTGAGTCAGCAGCCGCAGCTGTCGCCCTCCGGCATCACAGCCGGGAGTCTCTGTGCTGACTCAGCAGAAAGGACCCGACTCCTCCCTGCGCCTCCCACCCGGGCCCCCAGCCCTCCTCTGCCTTTGGGAAAGCGGAGGTCTGACTCTTGCTCAGAGCCTTACCAGTGCGGGTGTCGGAGCCCCTCATCCCAGGGGCAGCACTAGGAGTCTGGCAGGGTACATTAGAACAAGATGCGTTCAGTTTCTTAAGTTCAACAGTCGTAAGTCTTCAAATGTTTGCCAAAAGAGAAAACAAGAATAAGGTTTATATTGGGAAGAGACTTTTGAGAACAGCTAATTATCTAATTTCACAAATGAAGAAACTGAAGTGTGGACAGGTTACGTACGCGCTTTCCCCTAAGACCACACAGCGCCTCTCTCCCCTGTGCCACTATTAGGCCTGACTGGTCCAGAGGGTGAAGGCCTAGGACTCTAGGTGACCCATGGACCCTGCTCACTTACCTGCTCAGAATTCCTCCCCCTACAGACGTACACCATTAACCCCCGAAACCTGTGAGTATGTATCTTTACCTGGCAATGGGGACTCTACAGATAAGACCAAGCTAAGGATTTTGAGATGAAAATATTATCTCAGATCATGTGGGGAATACCGGCATAATCACAAGCGTCCTTATAAGTAAAGAGGAGAGAGGAGACACAGGGTCTGGGAGACTAGCAGGCTGCACAGCTTCTGGCTTTAAAGATGGGTGAAGGGACCATGAGCCAAGGTATGCAGGCAGCTGCTGGAGGCTGAAAAGGTCACAGATTCCTCCCCAGCCTCCTGGATGAACACAGCCAGCCCTTCCTCTATCTTAATTTTAGCCCAGTGAAACCCACTTTGGACTTCTGACCCCCATCACTACAAAATGATAAACATGCATTGCTTTAAACCACAGTTGGGGTCCTCCACAACAGCAGTGATGGGAAACTCATGCGTGTCCTCATACCTCCCCGCCCCACTGCCCTTTAGTGCGTGGTTTGAAAGAATGCACTTGAAAAGTAAGTCACCACCCTTTGGTTACTATGAAATGAGATATAAGAAACAATTTGGAAAATTGCAGTAAAAATACTATATCCCTTTCATTTAATAATGAACGCTGGAGAGAACTGAGTAAGTAGACTAAGTTGGATATAAAAAAATTACCTTTGATTTCCTCAAGTGAGCTTCAATGTTATGAACCAGCCGTGGCCAAGCCAATCAGCAGGCCCATGAGACTGTCAGAGAGAGATGGAGGGAGGCTAGGGCTGTTATTTTTCCACAACTCTGAGGCTGAATTATCATGACACAGCTTTGCTTTGCTTGAAAGTTTAATTGAGGGCAAACATGATGATATAGTCAAGATTAAAGTAAACTGGATGGAGAACATTAAGCAGATTCCATCAGACCAATCACTGACTATAGGTCCAGTTAGGAGCAAGTTTCACGTGCCTCTCAAGGAACAGGATATGGCTCTCCTCATTCTATGCCAAGTCTCTTCAATATTTTGGCCAATCCAATTTTTTTCTTTTTTTTTTTTGGTAGTACTAGAGGCTGAACCCAGGGCCTTTGCCTTGAGCTGCATCTCCAATCCTTTCTACTTTTTATTTTGAGACAGGTCTTCACTAAGTCACTAAATCCCTCAGGATGGACTCAAACTTGTGATACTCATGCTTTAGCCTCCTAGGGTTCTGGGCTTATAGGTGTGTACCACCATGCCTGGCCAATCTACATAATCTGATGTTATGGCTTGTGTCTTGATGTCCCCACAAAGCCCCATGCAGTCATAGGCAGGGCTTCACCGAGGTGGCTAGATCTAGAGTGTGTGACACTGGGATTATTTCATGGTCTAATACTAGAATTAAGGGTGCTAGGATTAAGGTGCTAGGTATGAGTGCTACCCACTCTGATGGTAGCCTCGATAAGATATAAAGGACAGAAAAAGGATTGTAGTTGGTTGGATAGCTTGCTTGCTTTTGCTGTCTTCTGCCTGCCATGAACTATTTCTTTTCTGCAATGCCCCTGTGCAGTGCCACCCAGCCTTGGAGCCATCAGATTGTGGACCAAAACCTCTACATACTGTGCCCCGAAACAAACCTTTCCTCCTTCAACTTTGGGTGTCAGGTATTTTGTCTCAGCAATGAGAAAAAATAATTAAGACGTCTGAATACTACTAATCTCACAAAATAAAACTCAGCCCAGGTGTTCATTATGCTAATTATTAAAGCCTCTGGTGAGGTAAACATAATTTTACACAGTGGCATGGTCACTGCCCCTAGAGAGTGGGTAGGAGTATAGCTGAACACACACAGCACCATACTGCCTATGCTGAAACATTTCATGACAGTCAGGCTCCGCTCTGTTTTCTTGAACTCCTGGGGACACAAGCTAAGCCCTCTTAAGAGCCCACTGTCTATATTCTGGCTTGGGTTGTGATGGCGTGGGGCCAGGGGTCTAAGCAATCCAGCCAGGGGGCACGATGCCAGTCTCCTCTCTTCTCTGAGTGGTTCTCTTCACTTGGATTGAGGTCAGTGATTCATCTTCTCTGCATATGGACAACTCTCTTGAAAAAATCCCACCACTCTAGTCCTCATCAACCTCCTCTCCCCCTTCGCCCATCCGCAGGGTGTGTGATGGGCTTGGGGACAGTGTGCTAGTTTGTATGGTCATCACTTAGCTCTGTGTGGATGGTCCAGCTTCTGTGCACACAGAGTGTATGGGCACACCCCTTGTTCTTAGCTTTGAGGGCTCAGCTGAAATTCTGAAGCAGTAAGAAACGTCCCTCTTCTGGGAGACCAAGGCATGAGGATTGTGAGTTTGAGCTATTTGGGAAACTTAGCAACTTAGCAAGATCCTGACTTATAAGAAAAGGCTGGGGATACAGCTCAGCATGAAGACCCAGGGCTCAATTGATTCTTACTGAAAAAACAAAACAAAACAAACAAAGCCATGAAAAAAAAAAAAAAAAAAAAACAGGGGAAGGATAAAGTAAAACAGAAAAGCCCTCTTAATATCCTGCTACAGACTTGCGTATACTGTGCTTGCCTTGATTGCCAAGGCTGAGCTTAATACTTACCTGCTTCTCCTTAGCTTAGACTTAGATCCCACTGGATTGGTCAACCCCCACCTCCTTGGCCCTCGCTCCCTGCTAACTCGCTCACCCCGTCCTCCACTACTCTCTGCCTTGTCCTTTTGCCTTCACTTTGATGACTCTGTGGTTTGTCCACTTGTTTAAAGCTTACGCAAAGTTATCTAAAATAAGTGAATAGTTTTAAAAATCATTATAAATGTGAATGTTTTCCCTGTGAGCTGTAAAAACACCAGACAGCATTCATTCCACTAGATGTTATCTTGGTTTTCTGTATAATCAGAGGAAAGACTGATGACGTGACATTCGAGAACCTTCTCTGATCACCAATTCCACATAATCTGGAGCAACACTGAAGGCAAAGTTTAACGCAGGCATTATTTTTGAAAAGACTAATGAGCCGGGCGTGGTGGCACATGCCTGTAATCCCAGCATTTAAGGGGCTGAGACAGGAGGATTGCTGCGAGTTCAAGGCCAGCTTGCACTGCATAGCGAGACCCTGTGTCAAAAAAAAAAAAAAAAAGGAAGAGACTAATGGTGAATAAGAAAGCAGGAAGATGACTCAAATGCTGAAGAATGAGCACACCGGAGGTTATTCTACGAGGAGAGCGAAACCGGTCCACATGCCTCTGAGAGGGTCAGTGTCACATCAGAGGTCAAAGTACAGTTATGCAAAGTCACCGGAAGGGCAGTGGCCCCATGACCTGCAGCATTCCATGCAAACCTCCTTTGGTGTATTCATGCAATGGGAGACAGACACAGCTGGGGCCAATACGGGAAAGTGAGCAGGATGGCGGAAGTGGAGAAAAAGGGTGTGACACACCCCCATGCTCTGGAGTAGAGAAGGGGTTTGATGCTTTGAGGCAAGGGCAGGGTGTCTTGGTTAGTTTTCTCTCATTGCTGGGACGAAATACCCAACACCAAAAGTTAAGTAAGGAAAGGTTTATATAGCTCACGGTTTGTGGAGGTTTCAGTCCATACTCTGCTGGCTCCAAGGCAGAATGGCACACGGCAGAGGACAACAGTTCATGGCTGCTGAAGACAGCAAAAGCAACAAGAGCAAAAGGGAGGAGCAGCAGAGAGCTAGCCTCTTTCTCTCCCTTATATTGTATGCAAACTACTTACCCCACAGCAGGTGTAGCACTCACACCCACAATCCCAAGATTGGATCATGGATCAATCATAGACTCTAG